CAAGATCCGCGGCGGAAGGGCGTGGGGGCTGCTGGCGCTGGTCGTATCCACGGCATGCGCCGGCAAGATTCTGGCCACGTTCGCGGTGGCGATGGCGTTTCTCATGCCGCCGCGGGAGGCCCTCGCCTTGGGCCTCCTCATGAACACCAAGGGCTTGGTGGAGCTCATCGTGCTCAACATCGGCAAGGAGAAAAAGGTCGGTTTCCCATTTATTGGTAAAATCCATTTCATAAATTTTTTATTATTGTTTGGTTTTATATATATATTTTTTCGATTAAAATTTGTACTTGTTTAGAAGTAATTTTTTTGCCTCAAGTTTTGATTCTTAAAGATATGTTTTTATGGTTTTTCTTTTAACTATTTTTGGTTTATAGAATTTGTAATTTTGTAACTATTTTTTAAGAGAAAATTGTTCGTTTTTTTCCCTTAAATGATTACAAGATAAAGAAAATAATTACTACATTATTATAATTCTTATAACAAAAAAATAAATGCTTATGTTGTTGTTAAATGATTAAATGGCAAGTTTATCCCTAAATTTTGATCGTGATGTTTAATAAGTTTCTAAATTTTAAAAAGTGTCTCAGATAAATTTACTAATTCTCATAGCTCACTAGTTAAAGCATCTTAAAAAAGTTAGAAGTTGAATCTCAAATCTCTAAATTTGTTGTACTAAAAAAAATTATATAGTTAGATATATTCCCACTTTTAAGATGTTTGGACCATCTTTGAAAATTTTCGAAATTACTTTACATTCAAGAAAAAGAAAATACATAATTAGAGTTTTTTTTTATCTAAAAATTATTGTAAACAAATTCTCAAGCTTTTATTAATTTTTCTTAGATCAATGGGTGAGGATGAGAATTTGAAACCTTTATCCCGTGGAAAATATATATAAAAACCAATTTGTCAACCATAAAGATGATCAGAACCTCAAAAATAGCTACAAATGATGTGATATTAAGCTTAAAGTAAGAGAGGAACAAAACGTGAAAACTTTAAAAACGTCTTCTTATTTAATATATATATATATATATAAAAGATAATAACAATAATTTTGACGAATGTAAACAAATAATAAGGGAGCAGGAAGAAAGTGATGGACATGAAAATTAAAATTCTGAAGAAAATTAGAAGAATGTAATACAAATAATTGAGTTGAGGAGGCTTTTGTTGACTTGTTTTTCCTGTAAGTCGGTTGAATTAGATGTCAGTCAACACAATCCAACCAATTGGCTTCCGAAACTTTCTTACAAGTAAAATACATCCAAATATTTTATTTTATACCCAAATTCTAACTAAACTTGTAATAAAAGTCCATGTATTGTGTGGCGTGGGGCCTAAAACGAACAATGTTAA